TATTGGGGGAGAATTCAGCTTATACAAAGGTGTCCATTGCCCTCACAAGTTATTGGATGATATGCATGCTTATTCCTAAGAAGGTAATTCATAGAATTGGTGTTGTTTGTCTATCTTTTATATGGACAAGTGGGAAGGATGTCTCAAAGAAGTCACATACTGCTTGGAAAAAGGTTTACACACCAAAGAGGGAAAAAAGGTTGAATCTCATTTATTTAGAAGATTGGAATAGAGTCAATATTATGAAGAATCTTTGGAACTTAAGAAACAAAGTGGATAGTTTATGGGTGAAGTTTATTCATACTTATTATATAAAATATAACCCGTTGTGGAGCATGGAGATAAAAACAGTTTTTCATGGATTATGAAGGGAGTGCTAAAATAGAGAGATAAAGTTCAAAATATGCAACAATGGCACCAGTTTAACCCTGGAGAGAAATTCAACATGAAAATTATGTATAAGGCTTTAAAGAAGGAGTCACTGGATGTGCATTGGTGAAAAGTGCTTAGTAACAACATAGCAAGACCGAGAACTATAGTGGTTATATGGATAGCTTGTCATGAGAATCTAGCAACAAAAGAAATAGGTTTGGGATGATTGATAATGCAACATGCAGCTTCTGCCCAAAGTTGAAATTATCCATCACCTTCTGCTTGAGTGTGAAGAAATGAAGAAAGTTTGGAAAAATATGCTTATGTGGTTGCAGGTCCCTCATAAGCCAAAGGAGTGGAGATATGAAATAAAGTGGATTATAACTAAAATCAAAGGGAAAGATTGGAGAGCTTCTCTTTTGAAGTTTGCAGTAACTAAAATCGTGAATGAAGTTTGGAAACATAGAAATGAGGAAATATTTGGGCACAATGTAAATAACATAAAGATAGAGGATGAAATAATTGATATTCTTGTTTATAGAGGGTGGATAAACCATAAGATTAGGAAGCATATAGCTAGATTGATAGCAAACTAGTCTTGTGTTTTGCTTTGTTTGTCAGATAGTCATTTGGATGGTTGGATCGATATATGGTTGCCATGTGTATAACATTTTTTTGACTTAATATATCTTTTTTTCTTGATTAAAAAAAAGTGTAGTTTATTTTAATTTTTTTAATATTATTTTAAATTTTTATTATTTTGTAATAATTTTTTTAGACTTTAAAATATAACTTAAATTTAATGTTAATTTAAATAAATTTTTAGATATATCGTTTAAAAAATTATATGATTTTGGTTATATTAAAATCTTTAATGATAAATATTTAAATAATTAGATGTCAAAATTATTCTTTTAATTTATAAAATATAATTGAAATGTTTCGAAGATACATCGTCTGTTAATGAAGAAACTTCATCAAAGAGAATATATGTTTTGAACAATGAAGATGATGAAGAAGCTTCAGTAAGTATAATATCTGAAAGAAAAAATGATGGAGAATTTTATAAATGTCAAATGGAATCGAACTCATATAATTGGAAAATGCAAGTTCTACTATGACCAACCAAGTTAATCAATTGTTTTTCCCATATGTGCTTTTATATTTTTATATAATCATTTTTTTAATATATTTTTATTATGTGTCCATTTTTATTAATTTCCCCGTGCCTCTAAAATGTTAGGACTAGTCCGGATATATATATATATATATATATATATATATATATATATATATATATATATATATATATATATATATATATATATATATATATATATATATATATATATATATATATATATATATATATATATATATATATATATATATATATATATATATATATATATATATATATATATATATATATCGTAATAAAAGAGAACATGTCTTAGATGATCCATGGAAGTACAATCTGATGGTCCTCCCTCTTTTGACTACTTTAATTAGGTGTCATTCCTAGAGCATGTCCATCATAGGTTCTTTGTGTTATAACCTTCTTCGTGGATTATTTTTCTAGGGAACTAATGTCAAGAGTCTGACGTCAGTAACTTGTTATTGTCTAACTTGACGTCCTTTAGGGGTTTTAGCAATTTTGTTTTTAAATGTCTTAAGAGCGGGATCATTCTATGGTCATTAGACCCTCAAAGTGGATAAAGGTATTTGAGGGGTCCATTGTATGGATCCAACTGTCTGTATTGTAGTCTCCTAGTGGGCATTTTATTTCATTCAAGAAAAGTGGATTGGGTCTTCACCCAGACCAAAACAGTCCCTAAGTTATAGTTTACAAAGTCGGATAGTGGGTTATTCTAATTCTCTCTACTTGTTAACATATCTTAGGGTTGCACTTAGATGTATTCTCTCACTTTATAAGGTGATTTTTTCAAATAGGGGTGTGCTTTCACTTTCTTAATATCATCATGTGAGTAGTTAGAGAATTTGTTTGCTCTGCTAAAGCAGTCTTTTAAGCTAAAAACTTTTATTAGGTAATGTCTTGTTCATTGTCAATGATAGAGGGCTCGTCATCCCTTATTTTTTATGTATTTCATCTATCAGTGAAGTTTCTTTTTCATTTTTTTCTTATTTCTTAGTTTCCTCCTTTGTCCATACGTAATTAGTTGGTTTGAAGATAGGAATCATAGGTTGAGCAACACATTTAATGTTTTTCTTCAAAATCGAGGTGTGTTGATTATGGTATGTGGAATTGATGTGTTCGATTTACAATATGAGGGATGTTCATTTGTGACACGATGTGGATCTCTACTATGGGTTTCTTCTTATCCTTGAGTTCCAAGATTTTGTTTGATCTCTTAGGTTTTATGGCCCAATGGGTTTCTATTAAAAAAATCATTGTTTCACATTTTATTTTTATTTATCATTCATTCTAAACCTTAGAGCTTTGTATCTTAATAGTTTTCGTTATTTCTTTTGAAGTTTTTGGACTATTTTCCCGCTTATTGTTTGGTTACTCGATCTTTGTCATGTTTCCAACTATCTGTTATATCTTAGGATACTATTGTTATAAACTTCTATATCATAATATCTTTACTGGTACATTTATTTCTTTACTCTTTCTTTAAATGATTGCTTTAAAATTTGTTGAATGGTGGTGTGAGGCCCTTATATGGTTTCGATGACCGTTAATTATGAAATTGTGTGTTTGTGATATTTAGATTTATCTGATATGTGCAAATGTTTATGTTAATGCATATATGATTAATTTTTTGATATATGATGTGTTTTTAGTCTTGTTTTGACCTCTCTCTTTTTTATTTTGTTAAAGAGGAAGAAGGTTTGTGAGCTTATGACAATAAGTTTACGCTTATAGGTGTTGAAGTGAGTATCTGATTCTTGATAAATTTCAGCATAATGTGCTTCTTCAATGTATGGTACACAATAGTTATTGGTGTGACCTTCACCACAGAAATCACACCGTAAAACCCTGACTGGACTAACATTTATTGGAACTATAGTTGAAGCAGTAATGTGCTTTGATAAGGCTTGAAGTTGTGCTAACAGAGCAACTTTAGCTCCATCATATATTTCTTCCTTTATGTAGCATTCACAATCATAAGAAAAATATATGAGTAGCACTGAACTAGAAAAAAACTAAATAAGAAGGAAAATTGAAAAAGTAGAATAAAACAAAAAATTAAATATAACAAAAATAAAAATAACAAAAATAAAAATAATTAATAATGAATAAAATTAAAATTAAAATGCTAACAATAAAAAATAAAAATAAAAATAAAAATTCAAATAGAAAATAAGATATGGTTGTTTGAGATTAATAGACAGACCTGCTTATATCTTATCTTCTATTTGATTTTTTATTGTTGGATCATATGGCTGTATCATATTTAAATTAATCTTAAACAACCATATGATCCAACAAGGTACAAGAATTAAACTCAAGAACGGTTAAATAATAACAACAACATAAAAGAATTCAATTAATCTCAATCAATCATATGATCCAACAAGGTACAAGCAGGTCTGTCTCCAAATACCTAATCTAAGGAATCTAGTTACTCATAGTGCATGTAACAATTACCATGATTTTAAATGGAGGGTACATGAAACTCAATGAAGATATAGGTATTTAATGGCTTCCAAAACCCTTAAAATACTACCTTTAGAACTCCAAGTGGTAACTTTCTCGATCAAATTCTGAACTCCTCAAAAAGTAGTCAAAAGCTCTATTTATAGCAATTTTGTGTGACAAGATAATGCGCCATCACGCCTACGCTAGTAAGCGTCGCACTCGTGATATGACTTCACCGCACCCTCGAATATCAACATCACAGCCACGTGAAATCCAGAGGCTAAATGCTTCAATTTTTTTTCCTTTTTCTTCCATATTTTCACTAAGTCATGTTTCTTCCTCTTGATAGATTTTTGCTCACTTCTTCAAACTTTGGCATGACTTTTGCTCATTATTCCACTTATTTCATTTGAATTTTCTTATAAATATTATGTAATAACAAATGTCATCACTTTCCTCAGTGGTATCACGTAGGGGAAGAAGGAGAGTCTACGGTCGTACATTGACAGTTTCACTCAAGTGGCTGTGGAAGTAGGAGCCTCAAACGAGAGCCTCAAGTGTTGGGTTTTTTAGAACGATCTGAAGCATAGTAGCTCATTCAGGGAGAAGCTAAGATGCAAGGAGGCCTATAGTCTAAAGGAACAGTTGGATATGGAAACCTTTTATTACTCAAATTCTTTCGAATGATTCACATTTTATTACTTGATGATTTTATTAATTGTATGCTATATATGATTTTATTTAAAACAAAGAGAAACTCATTTACAAACATATTACATTAAATAAAATGTCTAGTGGATAATAAATTCAATTGATACTTTATATATTTTTATTACAATGACAACAAAGAAGATTACAAGACAACACATACATACACACATGGTTAAGAAATTAATATTGATTTCCTTATAACAACATTTATATATGTAATTATATTCTTATACTTATTTTATTTGAATTATTTATAAATTATTTTTAGTTGTTTTAATTATGTGTGACTTCCTTTTAGTCCATCCATGAGTCAAACAATGTCTTCGTAAAAATGCTTCTTGAAAGCATCCATATAAAGCTCTTGCAAACAAATAGCAACCGACAAAGATCCATCATGATCATGACTAGGAAGAAGCAAAGAATCTCCATCAATTTCATGTGTTCCTGGTCCCATATAAATCTCTCTTCCCCACCCAAAATCAAGTCCATAAATAGGCAATGTCAACCAACTAACCACTCCTAAATTAGGGTTTCCATAAAAAGGTCCTTTATCATCATTCCTTATCATTGCATGAACATCTTGAAACTTAGTCAAATCTTCTTGTTTCTTAAAGTAATCACTCACTTGTCTCACATACTCATCATTCACTTTTTCAATCGCTTCCCTTATCCTACTCGAAGCATACCCTAAAGGCTTAGACATTAAATCACCCGCAAGACTAGTTGCCATAATATCCAATGTTGCATTCCCAAAATACCCTTTTGGTAAATTAGGTTCCACACGATTCCTCCAATCAACACAAACACCAAGCACGGTTGGTTGGTCATTTCTATGTCCTCTAGCTTTACATGCACTTCTCCAAACATGACTGGTTACTATTTCATACCTTGTAAAACCTCGACCATTACTAGGTTTTTCCCAACTCTCATTTGCTGTTTTTCTCAACTTCTCAAGTTGCACCTTACTCACTTTTATTATAGCCACGGTTGATTTTCGCTTCGTTTCTTCAACACCATCTGAATTTCCCAGCAATGATGGAGGTTGATTAAACTCCCATTCATTAACACTGTTACAACATTGCGATTTTAATGAAACAACACTCCTATCAAAAAATGGTGTGGTTTTTATAGTTTCGCCACGTGCAAGTCGAGCCCACTCAGAAGTAAAATGCAATGCACTTTGTCCATCAGCAACTGCATGCGAGATTAACAAACCAATGCTAACACCGCCACATTTGAAATTCGTAAGCTGAACAAATATCAAAGGAATGTCTTGAATTGGAAGCGTGTAATCAACCTGCGGGATAAGATAACGATAATATTCAGAAGAAGGTGAAAAATCATTGAACTCAGATAATGCTAATGTAGATTGTGCTTCAATGAATTGAACACCCGATGAGTTGCATTCGAGATCAAAACGACCATTTTCTTGCCATTGTAAACGACCCGCTAATGGATAAAATGTCACAAGAACTTTGCTTAACGACTCTTTTAAAGTGTGGGATATTTTAGTAGGGGAGGTAAGCCAGTCTTGTGTAGGGTGGTAAAAGTAAATTGTTGGCACATGTGTTATGATTCCAATTTGATCCCATTCAGATAATGGTAAAACACCATTCCATGTTGGTTCTTTAGGTCTCACGGAGTAACAACTTTTTAATGTTACTTTTGATGATGAAGATGACATGTTTGTATCACACTTTTTTGTTAATTTTGTTTGTGGAATTAACACTTTACTCGAGGTGTGTTATATATATAGAGTTACTGAAGTTTGTGGTTTATTAGGAAAATTTAATAAACGTAAGAAAATAAAAATGTTGTTTTTGTACCGTAAATTGTGTACTCATTTAGATGAAATGATATTTGGTTGCATGAATGAGTCATAATTTTAGCTTGAAATCAACTCATGCAATCTCTACATGATACATGCATATTTCATTTTTGAATTAATATTTGCGGCTCATTTTGGAGTTGTCAATTAAACTTCTTCTATATTGTTACTCACACATTATTTGTTTTTCTCTATATTTTTATTGAGTTTCATTTTTTATGTTAAAGGAAAAAATACCACGCCTAATTTCTCTTTATATTTATTTGTTATTATTTTCAAGTTATAACTTTAACTTTCAAGAAATAAGTTTTTCTAAAACTTTTCTCACTTTTATTCTTGAATATAGTATGTGAGAAAAATAAAAAATTAAAACAAAACTATTTTTTATCAATTTAAATTTATTTTATCAAAAAACAAAAATAAATTCAATTCTTCACACCTCTAAATTCTGCAGTATGATGCAATGTTTTAAATGTTGTATGGAATAAATGATCGATAAACACTTTTACATTATAATTCTATTAATTCAACTGGAGTTAAAATAATGACCGATAAATTAATATAATTTTTTAAAAGAAATAAGAAATTGATGATTTTTTGGTTATATAAGAGGCTAATAGTTTAACCCTATGTAATTTAATTAGATTTGTTTATAATCTAAATGATATTAAATCAATATCAATCAATTTTTAATTTAAAAGATTAAATTTTTTATCAGATATATTATATTTTGACTATCACATTTAAAAAATTGAATTCTAAACTGTTTAATAAACCCTTTTAAATTATAATTATATTAATTCAACTAGAGTTAAACTAATGACTACTAAATTAATATTTTTTTTTTTAAAGAAATAAGAAATCAACGATTTTTTTGGATTATATAAGAGACCAATGGTTTAACCCTATTGAATTTAATTAGATTTGTCTATAATCTAAACGATATTAAACCAAGAAAAATATCAATCAATTTTTAATTTAAATAGTTGAAATGCCAACTTATCTGATTTTTAAATTGTCCATGAGGAGAAGTAAAAAAGCTAGATAATTTTAGGTGATTTTTTTGGGTAAAAAATTCTAGAAATGTTTTATGTCCACAATTAAAATTTTTTTTTATAAGATATGTGATCATGTAATAATATAAAAATGAGATATAACAATCTATTAATAAAAGCATATACAAAATATTCAAAATGAAGTTAGTAAAAACAAAATGAAATGAAAGCTATTAAAAAATATTTTTAAATATATATAATTCACAAGCATATAAAATATATATTTGGTATCAAATTTAACTTTTACAAATTAATTGTAATTAATTTTTATTGGTGTTAGATAAATCTCTTAAACACTACAAGAAAATGCTTATCCAGCCACGTGATTTTACCACGTGATTTTTATGTGGCTAAATAAAGTCAGTTGCGACGTGAAAATCACGTGACAACGAGTTTTAATAATATAATAAAAAAACATTAAGTGTGTCAGTTTTTTTTTTGTGTTAAAAAAAGTTGCGACGTGGGATTCACGTCGCTAATTAAAATATCATAAAAAATAAATTAATCACAACTTCCAACACTGGCGTGTTCAGATTTTGAAGAAAGAGAAAACAGTTGTATGATTATTGCGACGTGAAAGTCACGTGACAACGTTGCGGCGTGATTTTCACGTCGCTACTTGCTTTATCTGATTTATCAAAACGCTCCACAACACACAGTAGCGTTTCACATTTTGTTAAACTTCTTCTTCAACCTTCCATATTCCTCCATACCCATTTTCTTCTCCAAATTTTTTTCTTCTCCACACTTAAATTCCTACAATCTCCAAACATTGGTTGTAAGGTAATTTCAATTCAATGTTATTTATACTTTGTTAACCGTTTTTGATGTGTTATTTGAATATAATTTTTTTCTAATTTTTCTTTGAATAGAGAAGAAGAATATTGATAGAAGTATAGATTGCAAAAAGGGACAAGAAGATTGAAGGAGTTACAAGATAAAAGGTATGTCTTGAATTTTTTTTTGAAATTAGTATATTTTCTGAATTTGATTAATTTTTAGGTTATATATATTTTCTGAATTTCATGAATTTGCATTGGGTTAAAATTGTTGAATTTGGGTTATATATATTTTCTGTATTTGAGTTAAATTTTAGGTTTAATTATTTAGTTTATAATAATTATTAATTTGTGATGAATGAGTTTAATTATTTTAGGAGTTTAAGTTTTTATATTTTTAGGAGTTTATAAATTTTTAGTGTTTAAATTAAAATTTTAGGAGTTTAATAAGTTTTTAAATTTTTAGGAGTTTATAAAATTTAGGTGTTTAAATTAAATTTTAAGTGTTTAAAAATAAATAAATATTTTTAGGAGTTTATAAATTTTAAGTGTTTAAATTAAATTTTTAGGAATTTAAGTTTTTAAATTTTTAGGAGTTTATAAAATTTAGGTGTTTAAATTAAATTTTAAGTGTTTAAAAATAACTAAATATTTTTAGGAGTTTATAAATTTTAAGTGTTTAAATTAAATTTTTAGGAGTTTAATAAGTTTTTAAATTTTTAGGAGTTTATAAAATTTAGGTGTTTAAATTAAATTTTAATTGTTTAAAAATAAATAAATATTTTTAGGAGTTTATAAATATTTTTGAAAGCATATATTTATCTTTAATTGTATATGTTTAGGATTATTATTAAGTTGATTAATTAATATTTCTAATTAAATAGGTTTTGATTATATAAATTTGCAGTAAATGGAATATTATATGTATTATCGTAGTTGGATGTACGATAGACTATATCCAGGAAGACGTGCACTTAAACCCAATTTTATAGACGGAGTTAATGGTTTTATCGCGTGGACGTTTGCCCAGGAACGTTGTCGAAGTGAAGGAGGAGTTAGGTGTCCTTGTCTTAAATGTGGATGTAGATATATAATTAGTGACCCAGAGGAAATAACACGTCATTTGCATATGAAAGGTTTCATTGAAAATTATTGGGTTTGGACGTATCATGGTGAAACACTGTCGAGTAATGTACCAGAGACTAGCAACACAGATGCTTCAAGTAGTCAACCGGTTATGCAACCACCTATGGAATTTGAAGAAAAATTTAATCTGATAGGTGACATGGTTGGTGATGCTTTTGGTGTTAACGTGACCTATGATCAACCTGAAGACTTTGACGGGGAAGAGTTGTCGAATGAGGAAGCGCATAGATTTTATCAGTTGTTGAATGAGATGAATACGCCGTTGTTTGAGGGGTCGTCAGACTCAAAGCTATCAATGCGTGTTAGATTATTGGCCGCCAAGTCAAATTGGAATGTTTCTGATCAGTGTTTGGAGCACTTCGCAAAAATGATGTTGGACTCAACTACAACGAAAGACAACTTGCCTGCGAGTTTCTATGATGCAAAGAAGTTGGTGTCGAAGTTGGGTTTAAGAGTAAGAAAGATTGATTGTTGCATTAATGGTTGTATGTTGTTTTATGACAACGAGTTTGGTACTCAAGATGGATCGTCAGAGGAATGTAAGTATTGTCATAGTCCAAGATATAAAGTTTACAATAGAGCCATTAACAATAACCAAAAACGGGTAGCAGTAAAGTCCATGTTTTATCTTCCGATAATACCAAGGTTAAAAAGAATGTTTTCTTCAATGCACAGTGCAAGTCAAATGACATGGCATCATACAAACAAAACAAGCCCAGGCAATATGCGACACCCATCTGACGGCCATGCATGGAAGCACTTTGATGAGGTACATCCTGATTTTACCGCTGAACCTAGAAATGTCAGGCTTGGATTATGCTCTGATGGTTTTGCTCCATATGTCCAAGCGTCCGGAAGTGCATATTTTTGTTGGCCAGTTATTGTAACCCCTTACAATCTCCCTCCTGAGATGTGCATGACAAAACCATACATGTTTTTGACGTGCGTCATTCCAGGACCGTCGAGTCCAAAAACCGGAATTGATGTGTACTTACAACCTTTAATTGATGATTTGAAGAGGTTGTGGAATAATGGAGAATGGACTTATGATATATCATGTAAACAAAACTTTTCTATGCGAGCTGCCTTGATGTGGACCATTAACGACTTTCCAGCATATGGCATGTTGTCTGGTTGGGGTACGCATGGCAGAATGGGTTGTCCGCATTGCATGGAATGCACTAAGGCGTTTACATTGGAAAAAGGGGGGAAAAGCTCGTGGTTTGACTGTCACCGCAGATTCCTACCATCAAATCATCCCTTTAGAAAAAACAAGACAAATTTCAAAAAGGACGAATGGGTAACAGATCTGCCCCGCCTCGATTGGCACCAGTTGCTATATGGAACCAGGTTTGTGAACTTCCAAAGTTTACAGATACTGGCAAAGCATGTAGAATTGAAGGATATGGGGTCACACATAATTGGACAAAAAGAAGTATATTTTGGGACCTCCCGTATTGGAAAGATAATTTGTTGCGCCATAATCTCGATGTTATGCATATTGAGAAGAATTTTTTTGATAACGTATTTAACACAGTGATGGATGTTAAAGACAGAACAAAAGATAATGTGAAGGCTAGACAAGACATGGAAATTTGGTGTAATCGTAAAGAGTTGGAATTGAAGCCTCAACCAAATGGAAAATTATTTAAACCCAAAGCTTGTTTCAGTCTGACCCCCCAAGAAGCTAAAGCGGTTTGTGGATGGCTAAAAGGTTTGAGAATGCCCGACGAGTATTCTTCAAATTTAGCAAGGTGTGCTGATGCTAACACTGGGAAGTTGCATGGTATGAAAAGTCATGATTTCCATGTTTTTATGGAACAATTTCTACCAATTGCGTTCGGTTCTCTATCCAAACATGTGCTTAATCCACTCA